CAAGGCAAGCTAGAGCATAGACTTTTGGCCAAGATGACAAGTCAGAAGGGACAACGAAATGATTACCAGAGGATATAAGCAGACGTCGAAGACAAGAAAAAGGTTAAGCTTTCTATCTCTAATCCATCTCCACATTCCACCTCTCTTTCTAACTTGCTTGTCGGAAGGTTCCCCATTCCCCGTTGAACTCTTGTGCAGGTCTTCTGGTGGGCTTGGTACCTCGGGCATTGGTTCGGGAAGCGTGGACCAGTCCGACCTGTTCCATCTGGAACACGTTGTATCATCATAAAGCCAATACTGTACTTGGCGTGAATGTCATAATTTTTACTTTCTTTGCAATTACAAAATCCAATCATATCTACATATTTATAACTATCAATTTTTTGCACACCGAATTTTTATTAATGTGAAGAGGTTCAACTCCACACTACACACCCCCAATCATCCCAATGCACCCATTTCATCCCTCTCAAAAGAGTGTTTGTGTCCTTTCAAATTTTAGAATATGATTTTCAATGGCGTAATTTACACTGCCATTTTATCTCAATGTAATGTACAAAATTTTCCTTTTTTACAATCTAATCCTTGTCTAAAATGACCAAAAAATACTTAGAACCTTAACCCTAATTTCTCAATTCGTCCATTCTTCACTACCATGTCCCTCGACCACTACCACTGCCTCTATCGTCGGTGCCACTCTCATCCCTCTTTCTGTCCCACTCTTCATATTCCATGTCTTCTTCTTTTTCTTCTCTAAAACACTAATTCTCTCTCTCTCTCAATGCACGGTGGCAGTGTGGGTCACGATGGAGGCAAGTCGTTACGGTGGTCACAGTGGAAGCAATTTGTCGCAGCGAAGATTGGAGAAAGGGTTTGTAACAGGGAGAAGGGTTGGAATAGAATGATGAGCAAGAAGTCAGACATGAGATGTCTACTACTAGAGGCAATTCAGTGAGGCTTGAGTGGTTGGAAGGTTGGTTCGTGGCAGTCGCAAGAGGAAGGTGCTGAAAGAAGAGGTCACAAGAAGGAGAAAGGGGTTGTTGGTAGGAGTAGGGTGGCGATTTGGTGGTATGAGGCGCTGACAATGGTTGCTGGAGTTGTTGGCACCAGCTATGGCTGCCAACAATGCGAGTGAGATAGAATTAGGATTTGAAATGGTAGGGGTAAAGATGAGTGTAAGTTTGATATTATGGGAAGTGTAAAGAGAGAAATGAGAAATTGAGTGTAATAAAATTTGTGAAAAAAATGAGTTAATTTATTTTTTAAATTTTTTTTTACCAAACTATATTTTAAAATTTTTCAAAAAACAAATTTTAAGAACTCACCTAAACAAAACCTTAGCTTCTACTTTGTTTCATTCTCCAAGATCCAACATGTTCAATATAACCTTTGATGATATTTTTTACCTTACCCATTACATATTCTTGGGGAAATTCTATTTCCACCACCCTAATAAACTCAGGACAAATCTTTTCTCAATACACATCTCTATTAATTTAATTATTAAGTAATTATCTCAACCCACATCCTTAAAATTACAAATAAATCATTCACTTATATGTACACACACTTTACCCTCAAAATTAAAGCGTGTATTTTGAACCCAGCGCGTCAAGACCAAAGTGACCCCAATTTACATTTCAACTTCAAACAGGAAGGAAGAAGAAGAAGTTCAAACAGGAAACCAAAAAAATAATCTGCACTTTCCTCACCTCAATTAAAGATTTCAAGAGCTCCATTGAATATCTACTAAACACTGTTGAAAACCTTGTTTAAGGTAAGAAATCTTTCAATTTTATTATTACATTTATCATTTTGTTATTAGATTGACAATTTTCGGATCTCTCTTCACTCCATTGCCATGAAAGTATGTGTTTTCCGTAGTTGGAAGTTCTGTGTAGTCCTCGGCGCTGGCTTTCCGAATATATGTGTTTAATTCGAAACTTGATTTCAGAATATTATGTATAATTTCGTCCAACATATTCCGAAACAAATACATAAATCCGTAGTTTGACTGCTGAATATATTCTATATTTTCAGTGACCTAATGCCGAATAAATACAATAGTTTCGGCACTTGATTGTTGAAATATTTTTGCAAGTTCGATCCTGAAGTGCCGAATGGGTTTTTGTTTTTTTTTGTTTTTTGGATGTAGAACCAGGTTACATAGGCCACCAACATTTGTTTTACTTTAGGTTCTTTTCCAACAATTTTATTTTATGGGTATGCTTATGTATTTTTTTTTCCCCCAAATTGAATGCATAACAATAGAAACAAAAAACTGTACAGTATTGGTATTTTCACATGATATTGTTAGCTTAGTAGTTGGGTCTTCATAAATTTTGTTTGCTAAATAGCTGAACAAAACAATTGCATTATATAGAGTATTAAAAGCTTGAGTTAATTTCACATCATCCAAATTATGAATTTAATGGTCTATAACTACGTATTAGATTTTATTAAGGTGGCATGGCTAGGCTATTTATTACCCACATTGATGTGATCCTTTTATGGGAGTGCTTATTATGTTTCATTATATTGGGTTGATAAGAACAACTTTTCTTATGCAGATGGATGTCGGTCGTAGTGAACGTCAGAGACATGGACGTGGACGTGCTCGAGTGCATGATGATGACATGCACATTGCCATGGATGATGATCCTATACATGGTGCACCAGTTATGGATGATATTGCTATGGATGATGACCCTACTGGTGATGATGCTAACATTGTTGATGAAGATATCCTTACTCAGCCAGTTCCAGGAGGTCCAACTGATCCATCAATCCTTAAAAGTTTTAAAAGTCATGTTACCGCAGCTATTTGGAATGGTGCTGATGAAAGGGGGCCCTTAAAGTGTCATAATCACTCATCTAAGATTCGTTTGTGGCCGTGGTGGGAACAAGGAAACAACGCTACATTTGTAAACATTGTGGAGATGTTAGGACTTGCACATTTAGCTCGTTGCACGTACCGCTTTGTCAATAAAATTGTAGTGTCTAGTTTGTTGAGAGATGGTAACCGGAGACAAACACCTTCCATTTGACTGTTGGAGAGATGACTATCACATTGGACGATGTCGCCACTATCCTAGGGCTTCCCATTGTAGGCAAATCTATTAGCGTGCATAAGTTGTGAGAAAGGCAGGCTATTACATTAGTAGTTAATACCTTGGAAATTGATGAGCAAGAAGTCAGACATGAGATGTCTACTACTAGAGGCAATTCAGTGAGGCTTGAGTGGTTGAGGGCACACTTTCATAATGCCACAGACAATGATTCAATGGAAAGAATTGCATGTGCAGGTAGAGCATACTTGCTATTTTTGTTGAGTTGTACACTTTTCAGTGACAAGACTTGTACTAGGGTCCCCGTTGTTTATTTGAGTTTGTTGTCCGATTTGACGACTGTATCTTCATATGCTTGGGGTGCTGCTGCATTTGCATACTTATATAGACAGTTGGGGTACGCTAACAGGTCCGGCGTGAAACAAATAGACGGTTACATGACACTCCTTGAGGGATGGATTTATGAGCACTTTCGTGGATTCCAACCACACTTGAATATGAATTACACTCAAGACATGCCACATGTTTACCGTTAGACTTCTCGGAGAGTGTAGTGAAGAGACACAGTTGCAGGCTTTTCGAGAGGAGCTTGATAGGTTGGGTGTACATGATGTAAGTTGAAAAGTTCTTCAAAATTTGAAACTCTATATTATACAAAATTTACAGTTGTCATATCTTACAATTTTTATTATTTGTAGGTTATTTGGGACCCGTACCAAAGTTGCAGAAATGTCCATCCATGTCATCCAGTTACGTTCTACCACGGTTGCCTAAAGTGTCTGGAAGTAGTTGAACCATATCACCCTGATAGAGTGTTGAGACAGTTTGGCAGAGTGCAGACATTCCCTAATCCACCACTTGGCCCTATGCGTGCTTCTCAAGGAGCCACAGCTCCACGCTACAATGTTATGTATGCATACTTGGACATCATTTGGGAGGCATGGGACAACCACGTGTTATCTGATCGGAGGAGGAGTACGCCGGTACAACAACCTTGGGATTGTGTTCCTGGTTACATGGATTGGTACCAAACCATTACTCATATGTACGTACAAAACCCAGCGCGTCGTTCTCAAGTGGATCCGAATATCCATCATTATCAATATCCTAGCCAAGACGCACAGGTATCCTGTCTTTCATTTAGATTGCAAATTATTTATGTAAACTGTTACAAGTTTGTACATAATGTTATATTTGTTCTCGTAATGCAGCGTATGTCACAGATACATCAGATTACTCATCCTTTCATTGAGGCTGGCTATGAGGACAGTGTTCAACATCCTGATAGGCTTTACTACGCGATTGATGCAATCGAACAACTTCTTCAAGATCCGCACATTAGTGAAGCTGTGCCCAGCACATCCACTCAGGGTCGGTCTGCACCCAGCTCTTCCACTGCACATCGTTTTGGAGCACATTACACTCGCCGGTCACGTAGTTAATAGTAGTTCATAATGTTAGCACAAGTAGTTTCTGATGATGTTGGTAGATGTATAAGGAGACAAATATTATTATTATCTTCGAATTATGTATCTTTTGGATTGTGTACAAGCACACATGTCGTTCGTGATGGTGTGGATGGATTGAACTACTATTTAGTATATATATATTTTATTTACATACTTGTTTAATCCAATGGCATTTTAACAGCAATTGCACTTGGTTAATATTATTTTCATTACGTTTTGTGTTCAGACAATGTAAAAATAATATGACATCCATTCCATAAATTAGAGAACTATAACACATATAATATTCTATTTTTTAAAACAAAACTGACCATTACAAAATCCAATGGCAAAATGCTATCTACCTCGTTACTCTATACTAGTAAATCATAAAAACTAATGTCTTAACCCTCTCATTACTACTCTGTAATACCTCAATCTATGTCAACTACATCAAATGTGTCTCGAGTAGCTACATTAGGTCCTATGTTGTCTTGAATTTTTGAACGCGGCTAACATATGCATTCTCCCATTCTGACGCACAAGGGTGATGGTGAACTCGCCAAAGCACGGCAATGGGAGGAACTGGATGACCGGCTTCCAAAAACACCTGCACGCGCATCCAAAAAATTACATATCTTTACCATATACATAAAATTTGTAATTACACAAATAATAGACAACAATGTTTGGTTATTTCCATAACTTATACCTGCACAAAATGATTTCCATTGACAAATCCAATGGCAATCTTGCGACGATCAGCTACGGTTACTGGCGGTGATCTCAAAGGTAAGAAAGTGAGACACTGTTGCAATGACAAGTGGTACAAGACTACATTATAAAATGATGCAATAAGATGCCCCATGTCAGGCATAGTCATCCAACGATCAAAGCCTGGGCTATTTTCAAAATATGAAAGGATGTGTGTCAGCTCCTTAACCCTCTCATGCAACCCATATAGTACGACGTATTGATCTCTGTGATTATTCAATTCAAGTAGCAGATCACGCCTAACTTGCACCCAGTCATTCTCTCCAAGACCAAGTAAACCTGCAATAGCTCTAAATCCACAATTCCCATCACCATCTACATCCTTCATCAACTTTATGAATGGTATTAACATAGGCAGGAAGTCAGTAGCATATGCACTCGGTAAACTTATTCTTGTATGATATGTCTTTGTCTTCACATTCCGCTTCTTCTCATGCACTTTTGAAGCTCTCTTTTTCTTTGACTGACTAGAAGCTAATGTGCTCTGGCTATCATGCTCATCGTCAACCAACTCAAATGCACACGGGTCACGACGACAAGATATATCAATTTTCTTATGTCCTCGACGTGGATTAGGTTTTACATCGGGCTCAATAAGAAAAGTGCTCACTGGATTTACAATTTCCCTCAACTTCTTCAACATATCCAATTGCGTGGCAATATCAGACTCTTCGAACCGCTTTAAAATCAACTCAAGTTCTGGGATACAAGTCAATTCCAACTTCTGTTCCTTCGGATTATGCACACATATAATAAGGCGCGTCTACATGTATGCTATTGAGTGGAATAGGACGGCCTTGTCTCATGTAATCTACGATCTCGTGAGCACAAGGTAAACCATGTGTGCGCCTTAGAACACACCCACATGTTGCAACATCAATTCCAACTAAATTTGCTCTCTTACTCTCTGCTAACACGTACTCCAATGCACAAATAGACACATTATCCCGGAGCTCTCTGAATTGAGAAAGTTTGAATTGATGTTGTACAGTTGTCAAACTCTTCTCGAATGATGCTTTAACTTGAATGTGCTGCAACTCAAGTAGACAATGTATTTTTTCAAATGAAACCTCAAATGTCGTTTGACTTGAACCTAATTGCCTCTTCAATCTAGCATGAGCACTCTCAACCCTGTTCATATGGATGTAAACCAAAATAGTCAAGCATAATAATTAAAAATAACAATATGATTTATAATAAATTAAAAAAAAAGTAACAAATATTACCGATTGGTTGTAACATTGCCAAAATGCATACACATGTCTATATGTACCGCAATGAATTTTTCTTGATACGGATTCAACCAACTCACAATAACATATTTGATTACCTCCGGATAGTTACTGAAATCCTTATGTAGTGTTGCAAGGTGATCATTGTATTCCTCTTCAGTCGATGACAATATCAAGTAGTTCCATGCAGTGTTAAACTTGTCCCATTTTTCTTTTGTTTCAAACATTTTCTTGCATTTTGTCAATGCATTCTTATTAATATGCCAACGACATAACAAATGTCGAGCATTCGGAAAGGTGTTGTCAATGGCATTCATCAAAGCAAGCTCTCTGTCTGTGACAATGACTTCAGGTAAAACACTGTCGTCCATAAGATCACGCAATGTTTGTAACGCCCATGCATAATTATCAACCCGCTCAGTTTGCAAGTATGCGATAGCCATGGAGAATGTCATATGAGTTGATGTTACTCCCACAATTTCAAGAAGAGGAAGCCGATATCTATTCGTCTTATATGTGCAATCCATAATCAACACACGAGGGAATGTACGAAGCAAATCCAAACTCACTGGATATGCCCAAAACAAGTCCGTAACAGTCATAGAGCCTTCCTCACATTGATGACGCTCAATGTACTTATGTTTCGCTAATTCACCCAGCAGTTGTTGCATCTGGGATCTACTAGCTTTCTGTAGAACCCTACATCGATGTCGTACATTGTAAATTGTCTGCATTGTGCTCATATTAAGGGCATCCCTCTGTTTGAGTGTAATGAGTATCTCTTTTGGTCTTACTAGGCTCTTTGACATATCAACTAATAACGACTTTTCATTAGCTAACAATCTCCCTGCATATGAATGTCCTTGGAGATGCTCCGCAGCTGGATGATTATGAAGCCCGCAAACTACATTCAATGTCCATTCATCATTTGTTTTCAACTTGAATGCCCTCAAATCAAATGGACATTCACACTTCTTCGTACCAGTTTGTCTCAATAAGTCTTTTGGGTCATCTTTCAACTTTTTACGCAATCTATACTTCCCACTCCGCTCACAAGCAAGATAAATTCTTGGTCTCTTACGACCGCCACCATAGTCCGACGTCCTTATAATAATAACAAAGCCATTTATCCTTCCAATGTCTCGTACCCAAGTGAGCAATTCATCTTTGTTGTCGAAAACCTATATATGATGTCACATAACTTTCATAATAACAAACAAAACAAACTAACTAATACAAATTTATGAACTTACAAATTTTATATTAAAAATTACCTGTTTAGCTGTAAAATTACTAGTACAATCCACCATAATATCCGATTAAATCTTAGGTTCTTCAGTGCATACCAGGTTCTACAGAGCCGAAATAAATAAAAAAATTCGGCCATTGAAAATCGAAAATAATAACAAACTTCAGAATTCTACTACCGAAAATATTGATTTTATTCGGTACACTAATGCCGAAATAAATTTAAAAAATCGTAATCCTAGTAACGAACTATTCATATTATTTCGGTATTTTACTACCGAATTAATTTAACAAATTCGAACCTGCGTTGCCGACTAAAAACCGCAAAAAATAAATAAATAAAAATAACTCCACGACTTTACCTTTTCAATACCAATTTTGCTGTCACCATTGCTTGAGTTTGAACTGTCATAGATTTGCAACTCTTCCATATCAAAATCAAATAAAAAAATTATTGAACTAATAATTAAACGATGTTAATAATTGAGTATAAACTTAAAGATTAAAGCAATAGAGGAGATGTTTTGTTTGCAAATAACAGAGAGGAGTACAGAGTGTGTAAGAAGCAAAGGGACTACAAAAGAAAAATTAGGGTTTAATTTTTTTGTTTCAAGAAGTATATATTAAGATATTTTTATTTCTAAAAGATGTGTATAGAGAATTTGTATATATAATATTAGAAGTGTTGATCAATGGCTATTATAGTAATTTTTATTTAGGATATAATTGTCATTAATCTAATTTTTCATTAAATGTGTTAACTGAGTTTATCAGGGTGGTGGAAATAGAATTTCCCATATTCTTGAACAGTGGAACTTCCATGATCCAATATGTCAACTTTCACCACTACATTAAACCGACAACAAAAATCAAAAGAAGAAAGAAAAGTAAAGTAGGAGAATCTTATTAAAAAATGTAATTTATTTTTTTATAAGTATTAAAAGAAATGAAAGCAGTAGTACATCAAGTTGTTTAGAGGATGGTTACTCTCAAATTCTCATAACCTGATACCAACTACAACTTTTGATTAAACAAAATAAAATTTACTACCCTACCATATTGTAAAAACCCAAGGATCAAGAAATCAAACATTATTTTTCTTCCAAGTAGACTTCGAATGAAGATTATACTTCAGAAGAAAATTTTATGATTCAAACACCAGAAAGAAATTGATGAGGAAAAAAAAATCATAATAAGCTTTTGAACCTAATCCTTGTACTTCATCTCGGACATTAAGAAGCCGGGCATCTCAAATGAGGATGCGAATTTCTCGACATCAGCCTTGAGTTCCTCTATATCTTTGTTGTTCACCAGACCCTTGTTGAAGTCCTTCAAGAGCTTTCCATGCTCCTTTTGAATCTTCAAAGTGACTGTCACAGCACGGTGGAGAAAATCTGCAATCTGCTCGAAGTCCTTCTCAACCAACCCTCTTGAAGTCATAGCCGGAGTACCTGTGAACACAAACTCATATCACTTGTTCAATATGGAAAAATAAATAATAAAAAAAAAAAAAAAAAGAGGCCAATATGAATGCGAAAACTACAATGTCCAACTGTGTTTGTCTAATTTGTGTTTCAATAGAAAACAAATGATAATTTGGACGGTCTACATAAATTGGAAAGGGATAAACTTTTTCACAAAAACAATCGAGACACTACATTACTTAACAAACATGTGCATCACAGTAAATCTGTATCTGTTTTAGTGAGATACATATAGGTTGCAAACAAACCTAGTCAAGCCGAGCTTTGCAGGGCTTGAGCACAGGTCATTTGTTTATCAAGCTCGATTAATCAGCTCGAACTCGGCTCGACTCATTAATATTAGTCACGCTCAGGCTTAGCTCGAAGCTCAATAATAATAATTTTTTTTACTATTATTTACATTATTTAAATATATAAATAATATATTTAAATAAAAATATTATTTATAATATTTAACATATAAATCATATATTTATGATATTATCTAGACATATCTTTATATTATTTAATATATAAATAATATATTTATTTTATAATTTAAATAAAGATAAATGAGTCGAGCTTGACAAGCCAACTGTATTCAAGTTCGGCTCGTTTACTAAACAAGTTTAAAAATCAAGCTCGAGCTGATTTATTTACTTAACGAACTGAGCCAAACCGAGCTCGCAAATAGCTTGGTTCGTTCACAGCCCTAGATACAAGCAAGCAATTTTAAGCTTTCATTTCAATTATTACTTAAATTCAACTTTGACAACAAATTATCTAATGAAATATCTACAGACCACTTGCCTAGAGAAGTCGAATAAGAACCATTTTGCCTACATAATCTCAGTTAATGGGGTAAATGGGTTTGAGCACGTATTCAGAAGATTTACTTAATTTTATTATTTTTTTATCTCTCTCCTCCCTGCTGCCGGTGACCCTGATTTTACTGGGAGACAATGCTCTGTAGTAATCAGTAGAAGTTGCTCATCCTAGAAGTTGAGGTATTCCTATAAGGGATCTATCTGTTATAAATAAATGAAAATTTAAAGTCAAGAAAGTATTTATCATTCCAAATAACAGTTCTTACCAATTCGTACCCCTCCAGGGGACAAGGCACTACTGTCACCAAACACAGCATTCTTGTTCACAGTTATGTTGCATAGGTCACAAAGCTTCTCAACCTTATTGCCTGCAACAATAGCAACACATAATTAGATGCTTCGATTAGGGGGAAAAATATTATTTTGTAAAAAAAAGGTGTGTATTCAGTCATTTTACCGGTCAATCCTAAAGGGCGAAGATCCCATAGAACAAGGTGGTTCTCAGTCCCTCCCGTCACGAGATTGTAGTTTTTGCTCATCAAGTAGTTTCCAAGGGCAACTGCATTGGCCCTGACTTGCTTAGCATATACCTTGAACCCAGGAGACATGGCCTGTTTCAGAGCAACAGCCAAAGCACCAATCTGGTGATTGTGAGGACCACCCTGGAGGGCTGGGAAAACAGAAAAATTGATCTTGTCTTCAAAGTCATAAACTGCGCCTTCTGGCTGGCCTTTCTTGGCTGGTTTAGGACCCTTGCGGTAGAAGATCATACCAGCCCTAGGGCCCCTCAGGCTCTTGTGGGTTGTGGTTGTGACTATGTCACAGAACTCAAAGGGATCAGCAGCTTCCTACACACATGGAAAAGAGATGTTAATTTAACAGTTATAACAGACCACCTGGATCCAAAAGATCTCAACAGTGAGGAGGCTAAAACCCATAAAAAGTCAAAATTAATAAATGAGTAAAAAAGAAACAAGAAGAAATGCTACATACACAAGAAAATTGCTCAAAAAACACCAACTTTAAATCTACACTATACACCTCACTTTTGGGATAATTTTGGATGTACAAATTCTAGATATGTGCATGGTAATTTTTGAGAACTTTTTTTGAAAATGCAGATATTAGGATAGTCTTTAGAATTTGCATTGAAATGATTAATTAGCACTGATCCAGTAATGTCAGATATCATTAAGCACAAATTTAACTCTTCAATCCCAAAACTAGAAAGAAAAAGATGGGGTATCTAAGCAGAGTATGCACGAAAAAAAAAAAAAAAAAAAAGACAATAAATTTTGTTAAAAACAAAGTATGCGCATCTATGCTGTCTCCTAGATCTGAGGGCCCGTTTGTTTTCAGAAATTGAATGAAGGAGATTTATAGTGAAGGGATTAAAAATGAGGAGATTGTTAGCGAGGAGATTAAGTAAAATTGTGTTTGTTTTAATGATAGTTGTTAGTGTAGGAATTATTAAATTATTTTTATATAAAATAATAAAACAAATAAAAAAATATAAAAAATTAAACATTAATATTTAAAAAAAAATTCCCAATATATAAAAAATAAAAAAAATAAAAAAATTTCTAATCCCTTCACTATTTTTCTAATTCCATCTCCACCTCCACCTCCACCTCCATCTCAATCCCCCTTCCAATCTCCATCTATATCACCTCCTTCATCCTAATCTCCTCCCCAACTCTACAAACAAACACAACTCTAAATAACTCCATCTCCATCCTAATCCCCTCTCATCTATTTAAACCAAATACAAACGGGGCCTGATAGTTACCCATCCTAGATTTAGACACTCCTATAAAGCAACTTAAAGCAAACTCTATTTCCATAAATACGAGTAGGCTGAGATGGAGAAAAGAAATGCTAGAGACACACAATTTGGATCCTAAATTTACCTACAATGGGTTGGCAAGAGAGGTAGGGCCTACACAATTGAATATATGATAAATCAAAAATTCATATTATCCTGCCACATCATTGTAGATCAAATTGTGAGAGGTTTCGTGGGTCTTAAACATTTTCCATAGTGAAAGTCAGATCTACATAATGGAGCTAAATCAACCACACCCACATCACAACAGCAAGACAAATACACAAAACTCAGATCAGAACTCCACAATTCAGCCTCATCCAAACCAGAGAAGAAAAAAAAAATGTACCTGAGCTGCAACAAGGCCACTAATGTGAGCCATATCACAAAGCAACAACGCCCCAATCTTGTCAGCAACCGATCTAAACCTCCCATAATCCCAATCTCTCGGGTACGCACTCCCACCACAAATGATCAATTTGGGTCTAAAATCCATTGCTTTCTCTTCCAACTTATCATAATCAATATACCCAGTACTTGAATCCACCTTATAAGGCAAACTCTCGAAGTAAATCGAGGTGGCAGAGATCTTCTTCCCACCAGAAGTGTAATACCCATGAGTCAAATGACCACCAGAAGGCAAATCCAAGCCCATGATCCGATCATGGGGGTTGAGAACAGCCGTGTAGGCTGCGAAATTGGCGGGACTACCTGAGTATGGTTGAACATTGACACCCCATTTGGTGGGTTCGAGACGATAGGCTTTGAGGGCTCGGCTGGCGCAGAGATTCTCGATCTCGTCGATGAATTCGTTGCCACCGTAGTATCGATTGCCGGGCATGCCTTCGGAGTACTTGTTGGTGAGTGCGCTGCCGAGAGCTTCGATGACGGCGAAGGAAGTGAAGTTTTCTGAGGCAATGAGCTCAATTCCTCGGCTCTGACGACGCTTTTCCTTCTCGATGAGGTCGTGGATCTCCGGATCCATGGTTTCGAGAGGGGTGTTGCCCCAAACGTTCACGGGATCCATTGTCGCAGTGTTGCACAGAGACAGAGAGAGAGTGTGTGTGTGTGCGCGCGCGTGTGGAAGTGCAAGGTGACGGAGGAGGAGAGGTGTTTAAAAGAGATCGATGAGTGATTTTGGATTCAATAATCACCACATTTTTTAAGCAGGATTCAATAATCACCACATTTCACTGTGATGGAAAAGTGTACACCCTACTATAAATGTATCCAAATCGAATTGGAGTCGAATTGGAGGATGCTGTTAAATTTCTGTCGTCTATTATGACTTTAGTATTAATAATTTAAATTATATTTGTTGAGTATTTTATTTTTATAAAAAATTATATTAATTGATATCGATAATTATTTGATTAGATTATATTTGTATCAATAGTAAGTATAATTTTTAAAATAAATTATTTACACAAATGTGATCTGATTAGGTGGCTATCAATATCCGATCAACATGATTTTTTTATAAGGATGAAATACTTGACGAACTCTAAACTATAGTTACCGTTATCTGATCGATATGATTTTTTGTATGGATAATATACTCGACGAACTCTAAAATGTAAACGGCTCAAATAATCGAAACAAGATCCAAAATAAGCCCACGATGCCAACTGTTAGGTTCAATCTTGATCTCTAACTGAAAACAAACTGGATCCTAAGAAAATTATTGTGTGATTTAAATTTAATTTATATATTGTAAGGTTCATATATAAAATGAATTAGAGTTATACAATAATTTTTTGAGAGTAAATTATATTTTGTTCTTTTTTTATGTTTGGCCATTTTTTCATTTTCATCTTTTATTTTCTAAAATCATTTTTTTGTCAAAATTCCAAAAAAAATGTCACATTAATTGCTACGTGACATAAAAAAATATATTATTATATTGATGTTTGAGTTTGTATTAAAGATGTGAGTTATATTGATAAAATATTTTTATGCTACATAGCTATTAATATGTCATTTTCTGTCTAGTTTGGAATATAAGTTAACTTTTGAAGTAAGTCAAACAAATTTAAAAGATAAAGGACTAAAGTGCAAAAAAAAAAAAAAAAGATTAAGGAACAATGTGAGAAAATAACATGTATTCATTTTTCATTTTTCAAATATATTTAGGCAAATTACATTTACCTCCTCTAAAATTTGGCATAATTACAAAAACTCCCCTATAGTTTCAATAATAATACTAACCTCTCTTATTTTTGAAATTATTATAGGGTTATGGGTTTAGCTTCTTTCAAGTTGGTCATTTCAACTTGAAAGAGCATTTAGACTTGCTAAACCATTTTTTGGACCGGTTTCGTTGATTTGGACCGTTCATTTGTTAGGACACGTTGAGTAAAATATTTTTATAAAAAATTAAGATGATCGAACATCGATAATTATATATTTTAATCAAATTTATTTTACAAAAAAATAAATAATCATTTTTGAAATTATATTTGTTGTCCATTTTTCTATAACAAATATAATTAAAATATATAACTACCGATATTCAATCATCTTGATTTTTTTGCATAAATATTTTTTTTAACGAGTCTTAAAAAGTAAACAGTTGGGATCACTAAAATCTGTCCAAAAATGAATCTACTAAGCGCAAACGTGTTTGGGATCTTGGGTTTAGTAGTTTTTTTAGTTAAAATAATCAATCAAGATAAAATGGGCTAAAATAGACAATAAAATAAAATGTCACATTCAAACCATACTCATTTCACTTTTTCTATCACAACTATCAAATTAACTACCAAAAAGAAAAAGAAGCCAATTATTATTCAAAAACAACTTTATAACCAAGATAAAAGAACTAAAAAAACTAACTAAAACAATAAAATTCTCAAACCACGCTCATCCGTTAGTCCTTTTAACCAATGTTTTAAAAATCGGACCGGTGAGTGAACTGAAAAAATGATCGGGTGAAAGGGTCACCGGTTCAACCGTCAAGTTGAACCATAATCAAACCGTGATGTCATAAATATATTAAAATTATATTTAAATAAAAATATAAGTAATAAAATTATAAATTAAAAATTTTAATAATCTTAAATATTTCTCTTAATACTTTTTTTATTAAAAAATATAAAAATATATTTAAAAATATTATTAATTTTAATTTTGGAAGAAGAAATCAAATATTCAATATTCAATATTCCCTCCATATGATTTTAATTCAAATAATTTGATTGAAAGAAGAGCAAAAATTTTGGAGGGATATCAAAACTTTAAGTTTCCCTCCAATAGATTTGATTGAATCCCACATAGATTTCTTGAGTTTTTTTGGAAGAATTTTTTTCTTATAAATAGATAGAGGCTTTCACAATAATTTCAAGCTCTCAATGGGATTCCTCACAAGAGGAGACCCTTAAAAGAGAGTTTCCAATTAAATTTTTATTATATATATATATAATATATAATATATATATAATATAAGAAAGAAAGAAAGAAAAGAAAGAAAGAAAGAATAAAAAAAAGAAAAAAAAAATCAAAATTTCGTTTTTATCAACCCGGTGAACCGGAACCGGGTCGACCGGTTCACCGGTCCGACCGCCGGTTTTCCCGGTTCTCCCAAAATAGGCCGGTTTTTCACTGCGACCGGTTCTATGGGTATACCCGGACCGGAACCTCGACCGGTCGGCGGTTCAACCGGTTGAACCGGCCGGTCCGGTCCGGTTTTTAAAACCATGGTTTGAAGCTACTGCGTGCGTAGTGAAACCCTAGCTCCTGACAAAATAGGACAGGGAAACCCTACCCTATCATAGGGGTGTTTGACTCTCATTAACTGGTATGTGCTTCACAGTGAAACTGTACAGGAATATGCGTATTAGTTGTGAGTTTGGTGTCTGATTTTGGAGCAGAATTCAACAAAGAGTGCAGTCATTCAAGCTATGCTCATATCTGTTTTGGTGAAATCAGGCCGAGGTACTGTCTGTTTTCTCTTTTGCTAGGTAGTCTTGGAACTATAGCTTCAGAAGGCTCCAGTATCCCCCGGGTGCATTGGACTTGTGTTGATAGACTTTGTCAGGTCAGAGATTCAGTTCAGAGCAACCAGTGTTTCCTTCGCTGAGACAAGGCAAAGAAAGGCCAGTCAGGGCTCACCGGTTCAACTGATCCGACAGTCACCAACCACATCATTTTTGTTCTAACTCAGCAGACCCGTGATGACACAGGGTTCAGAAGAATTTGTGGCCATGATAGCCGCATTAAATCAGGGAACTGCTATGCAGGATGAGACCAATGCCAAAATGCAACGCCCATCTGGGGCATCTACAACACATCCAGCTTCAGGACCCCAACCGAACTTTGACCCACTTCCGCTAGCTGAAGATTTGCAGGGTCCAGATCCCCGAGAAAGGTTGGCTCAAGCTTATAGCTCATATGCTTGTCTAGAGAAGTGAAGATAGAGCTTATATGCTTATCTTTGTGATGTGTGGATACAGCTCCTATGCTTATCTGTGGATATTGTGGTTATACATATCTGTTGAGATTGTGGATATAGCTTGTATGCTTATCTGAATGTGGGATATAGTTTTTATACATATCTGTGGAAATGATGATAGAGCTAGCATGCTTATCTGTTAAAAAGGGGAAAATGAAAAGTGACCTGGACTCATTAGTCGGTTGACATAAATGTGTGATTTATGTGAATGTATCAGTGTTGACCATCTATCAATTGCTAATATTTTAGTCATTGTTCATGGTTGGTTTAGTGTATTTCTACTGGGCTGTGGCTCACCCTATATGGGAATATCATTTTCAGGTGCAGGAAGCATGCCACCTCCAAGGACATAGCTTGGAAGGCTAGAGGCGGACACAGTTTTGTCGTTTTACTTTTTGATGTATTACATGTAACTTCAAGCCAAGGGCTTAATGTGTATGAGTTAGAACTCTTTTGTTGTAACCAAGTGTTGACTTGGAAAGCTGTAAGCCCGTAAGGCATTTTGTTTTGATGCTAACATGTAATACTAATGTAATGGAACTCCAATGTATAAAAGAATGTGGTTAGTATATATGTAAATGCATGTCTTAATTGTTGGGTTTAATGTTAAAATTTTGAGGGCGTTACACTTTGGGCAGAAAAAAGGAATTGATTTTGATGAGATCTTCTCCCCAGTTGTGAAGATGACTTCTATTCAAGTAGCTCTGGGATTAGCAGCTCACTTGAATCTGGAGGTAGAACAGATAGATGTCTAAATTACCTTTCTCCATGGTGATTTGGAGGAAGAGATCTATATGAAGCAGCCAGAAGGATTTGAAGTTGAAAGGAAATATAATCTAGTCTGCAAAGTAAATAAGAGTCTTTACGGTCTAAAGCAGGAGCCGAGACAATGGTACAAGAAGTTTGATTCATTCATGGTAGATCACGAGTACATAAGAACGGTAGCAGACTCGTGTGTATATTTCTGAAGGTTTTCAGATGGAAACTTCATCATCCTACTGTTGTATGTTGATGATATGTTGATCATGGGACATGATACTACTATGGTCAATAAGTTGAAAAAGGACTTGTCGTAGTATTTTGACATGAAAAATTTAGGCCCAGCACGACAGATTTTGGGCATAAAGATTGTTCGTGACAGGAAAGCCAAGAAGATATGGCTGTCACAGGAGAAATACGTTAAACGAGTGATTGAAAGGTTTAACATGAAAGATGCCAAGCTAGTTAGCACACCACTGGCCAACCATTTTAAGGTGACAAAGCGTTCGTGTTCCACGACTAGCTCTGAAAGGAAAGAAATGCATGCAATCCCTTATTCTTCCATAGTAGGAAGTTTGATGTATGCAATGGTGTGTACTCGGCTAGATATAGCTCACACAGTTGGTGTTGTGAGCAGATTCCTCGCCAATCCAGGAAAGGAGCATTGGGAGGCAGTCAAATGGATTCTTCGGTACTTGAAGGGAACTTCAAAGATGTGTCTATGTTTTGGGGGAGCTAACCCAATTTTGTAGGGTTTTACAGATGTCAATATGGCTGGTGATCTTTATAGTGATTTTGGTTTTGACCCGTTACTTGTTGTATTCCAAACTCGGGTTTGTGTGGTTTTGAATGGTTATTCACATCTTTTTCCCTTGTCTCCCCTCTATTTTGGCTATTGGTTTGTAGTTGTGCATTCGGAACAAGTTGGTTGTTTTTTTTTTTAAAACCTTGTTGCCAAGATTTTTATTCCTTCGCTCGAGCGGCCATTCTTGCGCTCGAGCAGGCTATGTAGATTTTGGTCCTCCGCTCGATGGTCCTTCCATGCACTCGAGCGAGACTTGCAAACTCTCAATACTTTGCATGTCTGTAAAAAAAAATACTGGAGGGGTGTTCTTGACGCTCGAGTGGATGGGAGCTCGAGCGGCTTTTCTTGAGCTCGAGTGGTTTGTCTGTTGTCTGCAAAAGTTCTGGAGGTGTGCATGATGCGCTTGAGCGGAACCACTTTTTGTATCTGACGCTCGAGTGTCAACTTCTCCGTTCAAGCAGGCTGCGCGTATATCAGATCGCAAAAATGACTTTTTACATCACTTTTTCATATCTTTTCATCATAAGTTAAGAGCTTCTCTCTCTCAAACTCACATTCTCTCTATTTTTCCGCCTAGATCTAGTGATCTATCCACCCTACTTCCTTTGATAAAAAGGTAAAGCTTCTCAAGATCTTCATTTTGATCTGAACAAACTTGGATTTCAGTGTCTTTGGAGTGTCAACCTTGCTTAGCTTGGTTTTCTCTTCTTGAGGTAGGGATTTTTTACACTTTGTTATGATTTTTAACTTAGTTATTTGTGGTTGTGTAACAATGGTGGGTTTTGGGAGCATTTTGAACAAACCTAGGGTTTGGGTGTAAATGGAAAAAAGGGGTTTTTGGTGGAAGTGAAATAAAGGAACATGGGGTTTGAAAATGAAGTCGCGTTGTGTCAAAATGATTGATTTTGGTACTTGGATTAATATTTTGAAAAAAGGGATTTTTGCCCTAAAATGGTTATCATATTTATTTGGTATAAATAATTGAGATTGGTGTTGTAAACATGGAATTGAGTGAGTGTTGAAATAGATGGTGGAATTGAGTATGTAATACTTCATACCTTTAGAAATTTTGAATAAATTATCTGTTTCGAGATTGTATATCTGTTTAGAAATATCTGTATTAGGCTATCGGTGGAGGATAGCTTTGATTGTTGTAGAAATTGCATGTGGATTAGATGAATTGAAACAAATTTTCTTGGTTGTCACTGAATATGACTATGTTAATATACATTGTACATGTATGGTTGTTTAGGAGGAGAACGGTAATGGGCTCTATTGTCTGGGAGGAGAAATGGGATGGACTCAATTATAATTAAGTTGGCAAGAGTGTCCTAAGTGAAAGTCCCGAAAATTTATACATGGGCGCTGATCCTGCGGACGAAATATCCATAAAACGACAATTAGAAGTGTTTGTGTGTTCTTTGTGAAATTGTTGAACCATTGAGTTATAGTCTCATTTGGGTTATTGGAAAATAATGAAATTGGCTCATGTATTGAAACAATTTGAAGGGAAATGAAATGATATATGGACTTGGTGTTCTATGACTATATAAAATGTGATCATTTTATTAAAGCATTGTAAACACACATTGCACTTATACCTTTGTTAAATCTCATATACTGTGTTAGATTATTCCTATTGGGTTGTGGCTCACTCTATTTGGGAAAAACATTTTCAGGTAATGATGGCATACCTTCACCAAGGCAATATGTAACGCCCTAGATTTTTATTACTCGAATATCATTATCCAATCCCTGATTATAGTCTATTTCCACAATAATAAAAGCGGAAGCAAGAATAAATAGCTAAACAATAAATGTTCTCTCTCATATGCACGGTGATGAACTATTCGATTACAATAATTTATAATATGTGCCCTTAGGCTTACATAAAAGAAAATAAAACAAAATAAATAAATAAAAAGGGATCAACCATTACTACAATAAGATGGCATTCCGCCTACAAGTAATAGACCCCATGGTCAACAAATAAGGAGACTCCATGGTCTTGAACAATATTCCAAACTTCTCACTTGAAAAATGGTTAACAATGTAGGATGAACACTAATGTCCAGTAGAGATCCCAATGATTCTAAACAATAGTATAATATAGATATATATGATCATGAATGCTCCAACTCAATAAATATACATAGATAGTATTGTTTTGCATATCCAAAATATATATACACATGTATACTTTTCTCAAAAAGAAATCATTCTCTATCATTTCAAGAAAAATCCTTTTTTTTTTTTACCTTCGTAACTCATTATTTTCAATTCAAAAGGTTTCCAAACCGAAGTCACATCACGAATATCACACACAATAACCATTTCGGCAACTCTACGACTCATCTTTTATAATCCAAATGATTGCATCACGTTGTTCATTTTCAAAATCAAATCCACAATTAATCCTTTAGACCCCCATGCTACTTATTTACATCAAACAACATTAACAAACATAACAATGATATTCTCAATAGAATCAATCCACCTCATAACACAATTTCAACTATATTCTCAATACATATTTTCGTCAATAATAATCTCTACAAATATGCACACATTAGCAATAAAATCTCGTAATAAAATAAACAACTTGTGGCCTCGCCAAGCCCCACATTACCATCATGGTTTCGCCAAGAACCATGTCTACCTGCTTTACCAGTTGCTAGCCGGAAGGAATGCATTACCTCTATATAGCACAGCCTGCTTTATCGGGTGCTAACCGGAAGAAACACATTACCTCTATATAACATATCAGCCTGCTTTACCAGTTGCTAGCCGGAAGGATCGCGTTACCTCTATATAGCATAACCACATTCCATAACACGTGCACCTTAATTTCCTTCCATTCATTCACATATAATTACGTAATTATGCAGTGAATCAATAACACATAAGGTTTCATATCAACCTATTTCACATCAATTCCACAACAAGTAATACCATCCTCCACCAATCGCCAAGGACAAAACCTGTAAGCATTTAATATTAATAGTATAAATTCTTATAAACAAGATAGTGTGATCCTCATAACATTTCCATACCTCAATTTTACCAATATTGTCTAGAGTTAGATTAACAATTATACCATCTCGTAATGTCCACTATTGATTCTACTATTTTGACCACCAACATTTACAACATAGGCCAATTTCATAATAATCATTTACTTTATTCTCTCTCTACTTTCCATTTCTAGTTCACAATAATTATTACAATCATCTATTAATTACTTTTCAACTATCACATTTTTTTTTCAATTTACCAATGACAATACTTAGCTCAACCATTCATAAACATTAACCCTTTTTCATAGTACATAACCATCAAATAAAAATTAGGGTTTTTCATTTTAAACTTCACAACTAACTTTTAATAGCATCTTTTCATCATATTAACCAAGACATCATAAGATCAACCATTTAAATTTCCTTCTCTTCCCATTTCACATTTCTTATTCACAAAACAAAAAAATAAAATAAAATAAAATCAACATGAATCAATATTTATATATATATAATCATCTTTTCTTTACATTCTCATAAACATTAAACTAAAAATTAGGACTTTTTATTTCAACCATCATAAACATGTTCTATTGGTTTAAAATTTCCATTATCAACAACAAAAGATAAGATTAAACTATTTGATTCAAAACCATAAATCTCATCTACATGTATTTAAAAAAAATCACTTATAAACTCATGTTTTTCATGCAATAAAAAGTACCACATATCCATCTATAGTGATATATTGAAAAGCATCAAAGAAATCCCTACCTCAAATATGAAGAAAAGCAAATCCGAAAATACAAGCTTGCTGGATCAAGAATTCGAGACTACCGGTGCGAAGAGTGCAATGAGCTCTCCAGCTTCCTTTTACAAAGATTGTGCAAAATCTCCCTATAAGGACTCCCACTCTAAGCTCAAAGCTTGAGCAACAATGGTGGAAATTGGGGAGAGAGAGAGAGAGAGACGGACCAACTCTGGAAAGGAAAAGAAATGCAACAAAAAGAAAAAAAGGTAAAAGGAACGGGTGGGGGCAACCCTACGTGGTTGCCTCCTTTTATTCTATATTTACTTATTTTATACAAACATCTATATATATATACATTAATTAAAATCATTTTAACAACACTCTAATATTTTGGAACACAAAATAATATAATTTGTTTCATTACAAAATATATTTTTCGATTGATAAAATACATCATAAATTCACATTTCAAACATTTATTATAATACAATATGAAAAATCTAGAAATTCGCTAGATATTGATTTGTGATTAAGTATCAATTTAAAGCAATAAAACAATCCCAATCAAGCAATCAAGATAAATCGATACAACGATTTTAACGTGAAAAAACCACAATTAGAGCACCTCCAATTGTGATAAAAAAACCACGGGCAACAGCCACAAAACAATCCACTAAGAAGATATAAAGGAATTACACAGGCATACTCTCAATTACCTAGCGAATCCACGCCCGAATTGAACCAACCCTTTTGTGCCTCTTCCAACCCCATCTTCACCTCGGAATTGTCTTGACGATGAGCCACTCCAGAATCCACCAAAGCTTCAGGCTCGAAGTCTTCAGAATCCACCGAAGAACAACTCTCTCTTTTGTATAGAATTACATTGCTCGCGCATTACTGTAAACTTCTTAAACCAAG